AGGGTTGCCTAGCCTGCAGTGTAGCTAGATTACATGCATGACTCGCACTATAAGTACATCTGACCATTATATTATTATTATTAAGTAGATGTACATGCATTCAAACATATTAATACCATTATGTATCATAATAATTTTCTGAAAATAAAATGTTTAAAACTAGATTTTGTCATTGTATTTTCACACCCAGTAGTTTTAGCAGCCTTGGCTGGTAATCCTTCATTATTGGACGAAATGCTGAAAGACACAATTTTTTTACAGTATAAACAATAATATAATTAGGATGCATTCAAATTGGCCTCCCATTCTACATGAAAGTTCTACAAAGAAGCTCAGCGGCAAATGGGTCCTTTAATAGAGATTGTCAAGCAGGAGAAGGATGAATAATGATATATTTAATGAAAAATATGGGCAATGACTTGGACCTTTCCAAAACAACATTCTCATAATAACTGTCACTTCAAAACAATGATGAAGCTCTGTTTTCTTACTCACCATCAAGTGCWGGACAGTTACAATCTTGTCTAATCTGAAGAGCCTGTCAAATACAACACAAGTCACTATTTCACTGAAAACATACTAAAAAATATCTGCTATGTCATAATACTAAGTACAGTTCCAAAAGAGCTTTTATTAAGAGCTGGTATTCTGTTGTGGCTCAGATCACATCATGGACATAGCAATGCATTCACGGCATGAAAATGCTATAATCTTTACTCCTACTTTTACAAAATCTGCTATGCAGACTACAGTACAACACTCTTTTAGAGCGGATTTCTTATGAGTGGGACACCGTTACCGCATGGTTACCGCAAAATTACGGGACCTGGCCTGCACAATTTTGGTGAACCAATGGGGCACTAGAATTTGGTTACACAGTACGATTACGGTCACACTACAGTACCGTCCGTTTCCCACTCATACGAAATCCGCTCTAGTCAACTAGGTGAATGTCACCAACCAAATAAACTTAAGGTAGATCCTTAAATCTATTTGATAATCACTTGCTGACTCTGGCTATGGACCTTTTCATGAGTTTAACTGTCTACAACCTTAGCAGTTTTATGCTGAACTTACCTCAGGAAGGAGGGAGTCGAGATTGCTTGCTCTGCTGGTATGGGAGGGGTGGGTAGACAGCCATTCTGCATCAGGTGTCCCTTCCATATTTTCTTTCACTGCAAGTCTTTCCCATAACTTTGGGCTCTCACGCACATCAAAGCAAGCCTTAAATTAATGATTACTGTAAATGATATTATCCAAGGGCTGTACTTACAGACATAAAACCAAGTGTTTTGTGTAGTTGACAGACTTGAAAATACAAAATGTTGGGGCATATAATATGATAGAATAGAGTATAACAAAGACACAAAGTCTCCAGCTGTTTGGTGCAGTGATGACTTGATTAGGAAAGGAAGGGAAGGCTACTAGCACCCAAACTGGTCCATTGTGACAATTTAGAAAAGCTAGTGATGTGTGTAATTATAAGATGATTTATTAGCCTAAACCGCGCGTGACCATAAACSCCCCAATTCCTCCAAACAGGTGTTATGGGTATCAAAGAACTAAAACTAATTTATTTAATATAAATGTCTCTCTCTCTCTCTCTTTTTTTTAGGATATGTTATCTGCCATGGTTTTAATGGCGTGCAATCGGTCGATAAACGATTTGTCTAGATATCGTTCATAGGCGTTAGATTTCCAGTCGCCCTGTGCTTGTATAAGATTTGACATACTATCTAGGCGAATACAGTTACAGGCCGTTGTTAATAATTAAACCTGAATAAAGTGAACGTTATTCTATACATTATAAGATGCCATCTGAAATATTGACACTTTTGCAGTTCCTTTCAATATTATCAGTCAAGATGACACCATATTACCTTTGCAGCAAAGAGCATTCCAACTTCATCAGCTTCCTCCTCTAGTGTCCTTGAATAAGGCAGATGTAAAAGAATCTGAAAAATAACAAACTAAACTGTAAACATTTCATCTATATAGTTTGGGTTTCCTGTGTCTTCCCACAGGGATCCCAAAACTAAAGAGAGCTATTCTTACAGTAAGGATTTGGTCTTGAAACCACTGGGCACTAATAGCAAGGAAGTCAGTTGGTAGTATCGCCCACAATATTGCCAATGATATGACAATAAACAGATTTATAATACCATGAAGACTTGCTTGCTCTGCCTAAAAAGAAAATGGACTCAAATCAATGCAAGAGTACGGTACTTATAAATAAAGAAGGCTTCTCCTATAAACCAAAATAAAATTATAGTTGCTACATCCAGTCTTGCTCATCTGGAACAGGGTATCGATTTCAATGAATTTTCTCTGGAACAGGGTCAGGGTTTAATTCCAGAATTATTGATGCTGGGTAAAAATTCACGGGTAAGAATTCGGTCTACACGCAGGCTAGTGCTGGATTTCACTCTGGAACAGGGTATAGTTTTCTGCAATTTTACTCTGGAACAGGGTAGAGTTTTCAGCGATTTCACTCTGAAACAGGGTCAGGGTTTTGAGGTCCCAGCAGCACACCCCCAACAAAGTTGGTAGTACACCCCCCCCCTCTTCCCCAGGGTCCCACAGGGTTTGTACTACAGCACTGACAGAGATTTTACTTACACCATGTTTTAAAATAGCATGTGCCATCTCATGCCCCAAGATTGTCGCCAAGGCACTGTCATTTGGAAGAATGTCAAGCATTCCTTTGAACATAAATATCTGGCCATTCTGAAAACCAACAATACAGTATATGACTCAAGGATCATTGTCAACGTTCAATACATTTTTTATACACTTTATATAATGCAATATTTTATCAGACTTGCGAGTTTTGACTCAGTAGTCACACACAAAGGAATCAAGACGAGGCGCCGTGCACAAAGCTCAGTCATTTGTGAAAAGACAATAGTTTTTCACAATTGACTGAGCTCTACGCACTTTTGTGTTTGACAATTGGAGCAAAATTCGCAAATCGGCTATATATAAAGTAACATCAAAATACATACAAGTCGGTTACAATGAGTAAAAGTTTCAGGCTCTATATAAATCACAGATTCAACAATTTTTGAACAATACAGACTGTATATCATTTTATAATAGTTTCCCTGCAGTAAATAAAAAAAAAACTAAAAAATTAAGTAAATCCCAGTTGTCATAATGCCTTGGGGCACTTCCACAACAGAGCTGTTCCCAGCATACACGGGTGGATCTAGCTTGTAGGTGCAGGGTGTGTGCTCCCTCTCTTGAGACCTGTATCCTTCTGATCAATACTTTCCTTATTTTATATCTTCATGTTAATGGCTTTTTTGGGGTATACCCTCTCCTGCACCCCTCACTGAGGAAAATCCTGGATCTACACCTGCCTCCATCACACRATAAATTATGTCCCCTATTACAAAATAAAGTACGTACTTACTGGTAAGACAAAAGCATTCATATCTGGAGTGTCAACAACATTAACTTGCCACTTAATCCCCTCCATTTCTTTACACTGATTTTTTGTTACMAGTCTCTTTGTCACTTGGAATACCCTTATATGGTCAGGATGATTGACAGGCAAAATGTTGTCACCACAAACCTCCAATGCTTGTTTATAYTCGGATTCAATGATCTGTTCCATTTGAGCATTCCCAAGAGGCATAAATCGAACTCTCCGAGTGAATGGCGTTTGTTCTAAGTGAAAGAAATAGTATGCGACTGACAGGCCTCCAAATGCTCCAGCAATAATGATCAGYTTTTCTGTTCTTTTTTCGGTGAATAGCATTTGTTTGTACTTGGGGTTGAGTTTTCTAAATGTCCTAGCAAAATTATTTATTCAATCATTAGAAACAAATTAAAATATATTAAAAGAACTTAGGTGTCAACCACCATGTGAAGTCTCAATTTAAGATTTCACTGGAAGACAGAAAAAGTTTTATTGGTAAAAATATAAATGCTTCTTTATGATTGTTTGTGACATCTCCATGGTTACCTTAGCATTAGCTTTAATTTCTTTAATGTGGTTATAGCCAGAAAAGGGCCAAAATGCAGTCCTTATTTCATGATTATGTTTTTAAATTGTAGACATACATATATTATAATATTCTTTAAGCCTTAAAACTCTATGGAGCTATAGCTTGAGACATATTAAAATACATTCAGTCCAACAATCCTTCCCTGGATCCTAACAGGAAAAGAATCAGCTCACCTTCCAGCRACCATTGCAGCGAGTTTCGAAATCTTTGAAAGCGGACCAAGAAGTTTTAGTAACAATGCAGCTACTGGCCAGGCATCGCGTCTTGGACTTGTGCGAAACCCCCTAAACTTAATCTGCCGCACAAAAACTTGATGAAAATAGGAATTCCCTCTCCACTGTTTAAGCCTTTGAAACTGAACTAAATTTAGTTGACGTTTTAGGGACCCTCGCTTAAGTTCGTTTTTGAATTGATTAATTGGTATTCTCTTGAATGAATGACATTGGAAGTTTCCATTTGAAGAGCAAAGATGATGAAAYGTTCGCGCTGATGTGTTCAATGTTTTCTTCGAAAGTAACCCAGAAAATAGAGWATTATTTTTGAATAAACTTGTAAAAGCTGCCATAATATTTCCAATTTGACATTTGTCTCTTAAAAACTGCAATCTATGGCAAATTTACGGAAGATTTGGAGTCATTTTGCAAGAGTAAATGGAACTTCTGGCTCCATTGCGGTTGTTTCAGCCAGGCGTTACTTGTCCTTTAATTCCAGGACTGCGCGGTAATGAACCAAGATGGCGCCGTCCTAGAGCCGCGTTACCAATATTTTCGTACCGTTTTTCTCAAAAAATGACAAAAAAATATTGGAATTGCAACTTATGATTGTAAGGCCTGAAGGAATTGTTTTGTTTCTTGTTTTTTTTAAGTCATTAACTAAACAAAAATGTAAGAATTTCGAAAAATTTCCTCCGATCTTTGCATTCAATCAAAGCTAATACTGTATAAAGCCGATGGATGGTCGCGAAATGTCCCCAGATTCGTCCACACACATCTCTGAAAGAAGTAGGAAATCAAAGAAGAGAAAGCACAAGCAAAAGTAAGTTGAAAATACTATTATTAGTGAYTTTTACTGAGTATAAACCAAGCCAGTAAACTTGTCAATTGAGGCCCACTSCTCGCGTGCGGGGTTGTTTTGGAGAAAAATTCTGAAGATGGCAAGGCAAAGAAATCTTCTCCACTAAAATGCATAAATAAAGTTTCCTTCGCGATTTTCCGCGCCATCTTGAAAGTTAAYCTTGGCTTAATTCAAGCCTTTTAGTTGAAGCAAGAAAACATTAGCAATCTTGCAATGATTGATACACCTTTGAATAATGTCTAGATTGACAGGTGTAGAATCATTGCACACTCACCAATCATCTCCATTAGTTTTGGTGATTACGCAGGGAATCCCATTTGATACAATTTTATTGTTACATTTTGACCTATAATTTAGTTAATTTAAAATAATCTTGATGATCCAATAGGTCTAAAACAAGAAATATAAAGAAACATAAATCATCCTCCAGTGAGAGCRGCCGTTCACAAAAGAAGACCAAGAAACACAAGAAAAGACCATCAAAATCCACTCCACACTCAGGAGAATCTGARGAAGAAATCTTTGACATTAAGCCTCTATCGGGTTATGTTGATGATCGAAAGCAACTTCATAAAGARATATTTACATTAGTAAGCAAGAAAGAGGTGAAGGACATGCTTCCTGAACCTCTCAAGGTATGTTTGAGCACCGTGCTATCCGTTGGAATATTCACATCWAATCTGCATCTAATTTCATTTTTTGGAACAATTTAATTCACCCTAGCCAACCAGAACGGGCCTTGAATCTCATATCCAAATGACCAAATGTTCCAAATAACATTTGTTTTCAAATTTTTAATGAGCTTTGAATATTCCGACGCTTGGTACTAAAGAAATGTACGGGTGCTACATGTTTCAAGTCCCTTATAGGTTTCTGGTTGATATCAACGTGTCTCAGTTTCAATGTCGTGATGCTTGACGGAATTTAACCCTAACAGGGAAATAAAAGTAAAATAGACAACTTTGAAAAATGTATTTTCGTCTTATCTTAATTTACACAGGGAGCYCAATTGTGGCTATCCATGACGAAGTTTGCTAGACTTTCACTCATCTTCTAAGTAAACAATATTTAAGTACAATTTGTATCTAGTGTCAGTTTGTCTATGGCCAAAACATTTTTGTGGCAGCCATTTTGGAGAAAGTTCASTTGATTGGCAGATTAATTTATTCATATTTAAATCAAATTTCCATGCTCTTTTGATCGTAGAAGATTAAATTCAAGGAATTCAAAAGCCTATGCCTGGAGCAGCTTGAAATTATGTCACAGAAAAGACTACGGCATGTGATAGCAGGTCAAGAAATGGTGTCCTCCTCCTCTGATGAAAGCGCTGAACCCCAAGAAATGCTTCCCAGCACTAAAGAAACTGATGCAAATACGGCAGAACATGTTTCAGAGAATATTGAAAAGACAGTACCAGAAAA